TTATGCTAATCACAACCTCAGAGACTAAGGCCATAGGAGAAGAGATAAAATGAATGCTTATGAAAGTTAATACAGGGATGAATGAATGGGATTTGGAAAACAAGGAACACTTTACAAACTGGCAGCGATTTTAAAGAGCACAGAAATCAAAATTTTAAACAATATTTCAAAGGTTGCAACAATATTAAAATATTTTTTGGTAAAATTCCTTGAAAAAAAATGCTGCTTATTAGCTTTCCATTTTTATTCTCGCCTCATAACTTTTTTGATTACCTCATAAGAGCCTAACTTTAACTGTCCAGCATTGTTATTTCCATCTCCCTCTAGGAAATATTCCTAATTCTAAGTCTTAGGGTCTGCATAATGATGCATAATTAAATGTTAAATTGTTACAGATATCAGTAAGCTGGTAATTCAATGACATTTCTCTGACAGGTATGTCTACTGCACTAATGTAAAATGCATATTTTTTACATATGGATTAATAAATAGCATTTGTTAAAAACACAATTATTGGTTTTCACACAAATACTATCATTTTAAAATCAATGTTTTTTTCCTCCTAGCACACCCCATGCTCGCTTCATGCCTGGTAAACATTCTTCTGTCCTGGCAAATGGAAAATGAAAACAAAATCACTGCTGGACATGGTGATACAAGAGCATTTTCCATTTTATGTGCACTTTTCAACCCATATAAAATAAGAATAAACTCCATTTTTTGCAGCAGTTTCCAAAACATAATCAGAGAGATGCTAGTAAACATTTAACTTTAGATTAGCTTTCTCAAAACTTTTGAGCACAGAAATTGAAGATTTGCTCACACTCTGCAGATAGTCCTCAGTATCTTTTTTAAAGCCTCTCTTGGCATCTCATTTTCACGCACCATCTGAGATGACTTGGAACACATCAGAAAATAACACCACCACTTCCACAAAGCAACTGCCTGGACAGTGACTATTTCCACATCCATCATTTATGGAACTCTGTTTCTGGGAGAAATTTTATTTTAAGTGTCAATACTAAAAAATGGTATTATTGGACTTGGCTGCTTCAGTCAGTAAATGTAGTCGGCACCTACTCAGCAACAGCTTATTTTTATTACTTGGAATAAGACACATTTCTGACAGTTATTTTTAAATTGTCATAAAGGAAAATAAATTTAATTTTGGTAGAGGTATCAGCATGCTGTATGTGTAGCTTGAAGTGACTGTAAAATGATGCATGCTCCATGATTTTATTTTTACAGTTAACACCACCCAAAAATGAGGCAAAGCATGTGAATCCTTCTACCCTAGCCCTCTTTATGCAAATGAGATTATGAAATAGCTTCACAGTGTAGGCTCAGCCTAAATTCCATTATTGAAAGGCTTGGGATAGCAGTTCTATCTATGAAGATCAATTTCTGAATCTTATTTTTCAACACCTTCTAGGATTCATAAAAATGATCATAGTTTTGGTCTTGATATTTGCCTTTTATTTCAGAAATAAACAGAAGAAAACATACACATACACACACTCACCATATTGTTTATGAAAGAATGGATGATGTTCATTATAGCATTCAAATTTGCCAAATGAATATAAGGCAGTTACTCAAAAAAAAATTGAAGAATTTCAAATGATATGAAAAAATAATTATAAAAATACTATTGAAATATGTCAACTCAGTTTTTTGTCAAGTGTTCATATATATTCAGAGAAATATATATGTATAAATTATAGCAAATGTATATTTGCATGTATTTTTATCCTTTTCATCTGTATATTTATATTTCTATATCACTGGAAATATAGATAAAATAAAACAAGCTATTTGTAGGTGAGAGATGATAGATATTTTCATCTTAATTTATTCCATTTTCTATTCAAAATGTTTTATAATTCAACTAAATAAAAGTTTATATTATTCAACGTGAGAGCATTATTATTTATCTCACATCAGAATTGATACAGAAAAATAGATACACTTTATACTAGTCACACATGTTCTTGAGTCAATCAGCACTGAGTAACTAATTTTAAATATTGCCTGTCAATTCAGCATAACACCTGTGATCTGCATTAAGGTTTTATCACATGTTCAACTCCTGTAAAAATTGTAATTTTTCAAGGGTTTTACATTCAACAAGTTCATTTGCAACTCAAAGATTTAATGTATTTTCAGATATTTCTTATAAAGCTATAATCTCTATAAAACATTTTTTAAATTAGAAGGAAAAGGTAGAAGATTGAGAATCAGCAGGTGAATCTAATTTCAATTTTGGATAGGAATGAAAACATAGTTTTGTTTTTATTATGACATTTTCAAAAGAACAGTTTTGATTTTAGTTAAATGATTTTTTTTTTAATTTTTACTTTGGTGTGTGGGGTCAACTCTGAGTACTTTGCAAAAAACAACTTGGAATTTTCACTCAGTTCTCAAAATATCACCACATATTCTTTGAACCATTGGCATAATGCATCCAGTTTATAAAATCATTTGTATTGCATTGAGCTTTTGCCTGTCTTGTATCTTTAGATAAATTTGAAAGCTAAAGAAATACCCACTGTATTGAATATCTTAAATAATATGGCTGAAATTTGTGAATTGAAATTCCTAAGTTCAAAAATGATTAACTGCAGCTTGATTTTATGCTTGGAATTTCCCATGCTTCATAGCACTTCTAAAATATTATGAGGGGAAAAAAAACTTCCTCCTATAATTTATAGCAATTTTCATCATACTTATGTAAAATGTAGAAACTTAAAGAAATATCAAATTCATATACCCTCTAATTGTTGCCTTAGTCTTTTAACTATGTCCCTTAACTCTTGAAGAGAAGAATCACAGAGTTCAAGTGACTTCAAGGACCAAATCTTGGTATTCCCATAGAAAAGATTTTAACTATGTTGCACAGAGTAATGGGAATAAGCATGCAAGGGACTGGCACTGAGCTGACCTTCCCATGAGAGAATAGGGTAGCTATTGAAGAGTCTGGGTTTTTTTAAGGGAACTGAGATCCTTTCATCTTACCTCAATTTTTAATACTCCATTAAGTGGTTTGTTACCCCTTGTACAGACCTCAGAAAATCTTTGTGTGTATCCTGATGGTCATGAAGTGGCTGTGACCTATTTTTGGTGATGGCCTTTCACAGCAGGAGAGTTGTGAGGACCTGGTTTCAAGAGATCTTGAAACAATAGTTGCCTTAAGGGATTACAATTAACTGTCTGGAGTGTTTGGAAATACCAATTCCATTTTCCTGATTCTCACCTGCTTTGATAAAGTTTTCTGTTATCCCCAGTCCTGTGATTTATAGACTCTCTTTGATGTGTATGTCTGATGTCCTACTTCTACCAACTTACTCATGCCTGAATCCTAAACACTATCAAGTATAAATCCTATGCTTATGCTCATAAACAAACATATTTTCAGAGCAAGTTTTGAAGTAAATACAAATTCTAAAATGAATAAATTCATGTTAATAACATTAATTTGAAGGATAGCATTTTACTGAACCTAAACCACAACGTCAAGCTTGAAAGCTAAGATGTAGCCAATGTTGAACTTACATTTAATTGGTATTTCTAATTTGTTTCTAATACTAACTCACAGAAAGAGTAATTGCATAGAATATATGTTTATGTAATTAAAAATATTTTAAATCTCTTTTTGTGCTGCAATGTTAACAAACACAAAAGTCATTTTTTACCAAATTTTGCCAGAGAGCAGCAACTGAATGCAGATTGTAAGGCACATCCCAATGGTTATGAGCACTATAAAAGTTCAAAGTTTTTTCTTTAAGTGATCTGCTGAGGGCATTAAGCTCTCAAATATAAAGTCTTGGATACTGAAATCAGAAAACTAGGCAATCCTGAATGAAAATAGTTTAAAACACTTTAGGTCAGCATCTGAATGAAAGAAATATAGATGATATAATTTATAAGAATATAAATTATTGTGTAAAATAATTATACATTTATTTATATTAATCATAAGAATATGCATTAGCAATCTGTAATATGTAATATTTTAAATAAGCTGTAAAATGTAATATTTTAAGGTGATATTTGTTGTACGTATATACTTATTCTTAGACAATTTATGTTTCTCCAAATATATGTTGAGCTTCCACTTATTCTTGGACTCCAGTTTGAGCAATGCTGACCATATACCTGTGATAATTTCCCTTCTCTTTGATTCTCTCCCTTTTGGATTTCATGTGCATCTTATTCCATGCTACAATACAGTGAACTAATAATGTGTTGAAATTTAAAATAAATTAACTGAATTTAAATTTATTTGAATTACAATCAACAAATATTCTATATGCATAATGAATTAGAAGAAAACTTATCTGTTAATCTGAAAAAATAACCAAGGATGCTATCAATAGTTTGGTTAATATTGGATAATTCATACAATCTTGACTGGTTAAAATGAGATAATCTACCACATATAACTGAAAGATCGTATCATTCTTTTCCAAAGAAAAAGGCTCAGTGTTTTCTGAGATTTTTCTTAACTCATCTCCTTCTATATTAGGTCATTAATTTCTACCTTTAGCTCATGTGGAAGACTTACAACTTGGTATTTATGAGCTTACTTATTTTCATATGATCATTTAATCTAAAACAATAACTATGCTTAAGATTTGTGAATAGTTTCTGATGAAAATGTTATTCCTAAAGAGATACAAAGGAACTCAACAAATGTTCAAAATCAGTTACACTTACACTAGGTTTGGAGTGTGATTCTGATCTTCAAAATGCATTAAAAAATAGAATGAACTGAAAGTAAAATCAATGAAAGGACAAATTTGTTGTCCATCTATGAAATAAGGCAAGGAACTCAAATGTGAAATTAGAATATCAAGTATCTATCTATCTATCTATCTATCTATTTACATAGGTTTTCACAGAACATTTTTTTTCAAATTGTGACTCTTTAATAATGGCAAAATTTTTAATGGTATCCCTCTCTTCTCTCCTCTCTTTCCTTGTCTTCCCCCACCCCAAAGCTTCATTCTGACTTGGACAAGGGAGAGGGTACTGTTAAATACACCCTCTCAGGAGATGGTGCCGGGACCGTTTTTACCATTGATGAAACCACAGGCGACATTCATGCAATAAGGAGCCTGGATAGAGAAGAAAAACCTTTCTATACCCTGCGTGCACAGGCTGTAGACATAGAGACCAGGAAGCCTTTGGAGCCTGAATCAGAATTCATCATCAAAGTGCAAGATATTAATGACAATGAGCCAAAGTTTTTGGATGGACCTTATGTTGCTAGTGTTCCAGAAATGTCTCCTGTGGGTAAGTAGGCACATGAATACTTTGTCAGATGCTAAAGAACCTCTCCAACATTCACATATTCAGGTTGATAGTATTTGTAATCCCCAAATTACTCTTCAACAGTAGAGGATGAATTAATTTTTACTTGTTTTCTCAGCATTTTCTGTTTAGTTTTTTTTTTTTTTGCTCCTTATGAAGATAGCAATTAGAATATATAAAATTATTCCATGTTTTTCCATATGTTGGTGTACCTGACCTCATAACACCCCCTTATATTTGAAGTATAAAAAATATTTGTATTGAAATTTATTATACTTACCAATTCTAGACACCAACTGACTGCTGAATATAACTACCTTATATCACCAAATACCAGAGAGAAATTATGTCTCAAGTATGCAAAACTTAACCAAAGTGTGTATTAAGTCTGATCTTAAAGAGTTCAGAAAAGTTGTGTTTTACATTATTTGTAGTATTGATAGAGATTCAAGAATGGTAAGATCATTTATTTTGTGTATATAAGTATTCCATATTAGTTATACTACAAAACAACTAAGCAAATGATAATGTGATTTCATTATTAGAATAAATCTAGAATTATACTATGGTAACATAATTCTTAATACTTCATATTTAATATAAATTCATATTTCCAAATCAAAGACTTTACAAACTCATATATATATATATATATATATATATATATATATATATAAACTAAGTAGATAATTCTAACCTTAATGGCAATTTTTAATTAAAATTCTTACTCCTCAGTCACTACTGACAATTCTTCTTGTATTCTAGTTCCTATCACTTCTAGTTCCTATCACACGCATTCACAAAACATGTTTTTTTTTTTTTTTCAGTTTCTGAATGTTTAAAATTTTTATAATCAAAAGATGGGAAAAAAAGAGACAAAGTTTCCATTTAATATTCCTGATTAAAGAAATTATGTTTTGGAACTTCCTATCACATTTGGAAGATAAAGCTATTATTTGCACATAGGTTAAACTTGAAACTTGTATTGAGCCATTGCTAATATTTCCTAATGTCTCAAAGGGCTACCACTCCCCTACAACCACTCAGGACATGCAGTGAAGATTGCACACACTGCCTTAGGGCAGAAACAGGTTAGTGGCTGTAGAACTTGTCACATAGATTTACAACAAATGCACTTGAAATTGTATGTATGACCTTATCAGGCATTCAGAGACCATATTCTCTCCTTTACCTAAGAGATCAAAGGAAAAGCTGCAGATCTCATTCATTTTCAGGTACATTTTGAGTTGTCCATTTTCTGCAGTGTTATGATTGCTGGAGATTTAGAAATGCAATAGTGAAGAAGCATGCTGTATTAGAAAATAATCTCAGGAAATGAGATGAACTATTTTATTAATTGTGTCTTTATTTTACAGAGGGGAGAAAAGTAGAGGTAATATACTTTGAGACAAAGGCTTTTAAGAAGGCAGAGCTATTCAGTGGATAAGAAGTTTAACCCAGCCACTTTGTATAAATTAGAAATATCGACATGAGTTTGGAATGCTAAGTGACTCTATTACTAAAACAACATCCTTAAAGCAAACACACACATCTTGTTACAGCTTTAGAAATTTTGTCTCATTAGATAAACAATTATGTCTTTTGTTGATAAAGTGTAGGGCTGAAAAAGCTGAAGCCCTGCTTTAGAAAATTTGTAGCTAGTTCCTGAGAGAGAAATCAATGTGGATGATAAGGAGCAAGGTAGGTAAGTGAGAAAGCAAAGCGAATGCAGCTTTTGCAATTTTGGGGTTTAATACCATATACTATGAGATCATGAGAAATTGGAAAGATCTGTAGAAAATGAGGCTCTGTGAAATGTGCTGTCCTGTGCCATTACTGAAATTTCTATTGGTTACTCAAGAGACTCCAGTAAAATCTTAACTTGGTTTGCAACACATCCCTCCCCACCCCATGGTAGTGGGGATGGACCCAGGGTCTTCCTCGCCTACACTAGCAAGCCCTCTAACTCTGAGCTGCACCCCCAGCCCTTTTCACTTTATTGTAAGAAAAGTTCTCACTAAGTTTCCCTGTCTTTCTTTGAATTTGTGATCCTCCTGCCTCAGTCTTGCAGCAGCTGAGATTATAGGCCTGCACCACCCTATCTACTTTCTCTGTTTTATTTTCTCTTTTTATTTGTTCTTTTTAGATATATATGACAGTAGATTTTATTTTGACATATTGTATACACATGGAGTACAACATTAAAATTAAGATCCCAGTTTTATGGATATACATGATGGTGAGAGTCCCTGACGTGTATTCATATATTTTTTTTTTATAGCAGGAGTATTTCTTTTGAACCTGAACCTATTTACATACTGTAGCTTAGCCTGGGTATTCTTGAAATACATTTATATAAGGTGCTCTTTTCAAATGAATACAGAGGTACAAGCACCACCTATGAATTAAATGTTAAAAGTAGAATGCGTACCATGCATTGTTACCTTTTTTCATAATCCCCCATATATATAAGCCCCCCAAACACTGGAGAGCCAGCTTGAGCTGTGGCATCTGTTGCTTCTCTTTTTCCATGACTAATTTAAAGCTTACCAACAACTATTGTGTATCCAGAACTTGTATTTACTGTATATACCAAGAGTTCTTCAATTCCATTCTCAAGTATGCCCATATTACCCAGTGAAATGGTTCCCTGCTCTAATAAGCAAAGAAAAGTTTATATTTTTCTCTATTTTCCTACCCACCACCCAGCACCAAACAATCTAGAAAATGCTTCCTCTTATTATATTCTGGGCATATGTAAATAATTACTGGTCGAGACTGGATGGAACTCTCCCTGTTAAATTCACAATGTTAGCTATCTATGGTTGCAGCACATCTCACTGTCTGCTCTAGGTGTCTGTGTTTGAGGCATTTCCTATGAAATAACTTTATAACTATCGAGAATGTGGCGATTTCATTTTCTTAAAAGGGAAGAAACAACCAATTGAAAAATGCATACAGTGAAATAGTTTATTTTGTAATACAAAAGAGAACATGAAGTATCAGTGGAATGAAGTGTCTTATACAAATGGCAATGTGTCAGTAATGGATAAGAAACCTGAAATCATGGTATTCAAATAACTGGCAATGAAATTAAGTGAAGTTAACATTACATAGAACATAAGTGTACAAAGAGAGAATGGTGGTGATCAGAACAGTTTGAGATTTTAGAGGAAAATCAATATTTAAGACTTATAACACAATGGAGTGCATTTAATTTCTTAAGTTGAAGAAAATTCTAGTGAATCTATGAATTGTTTAAGAGAAAGGTCACTCTGTTACCAACTCCTGCTATATCCAATATGCCATGGAAGTAATATTCAGAGATAAAGTGCTTTTACTTTGACCTAAGGAAATTACTTAATGATCCAGATATTCTCCAACTCAAAGCTACTCCTTGGAGATGAATTTAGACTTTATGAATGTGGTCTTAATTCTTTAAGATCACTAGAGTTACAATGAATTGCTGGAATGTGCCCTCTTTAATGTCTGATGATTACGCATCAGTAGATTATGCAGCATAAGTTACTTTCCATGGAGCACTGGAAGAATTCAAGTGTTTAAATCCATATTCACAATTGTGTTCTCTTTCTCTGTCTCAGCTAACTCATTTTGAGACAGCTGATTAGATTATTAATAACCAGGTCTCTATGACATGTTTTAGTAGATGTCAATTCTGAATCATGAATCATAATTTATGTAGTAAAATGTGCTGCTCCCTAAGCAATACCAAGGTACTAGATAATGTAACTGGAAAATTTTGTCCTTTATTTGATTTCATCTTTAAAAAGAAAGAAAAAGAACTTTGTGCATTATTTTTATATGTTTTATTTTTTTCAATATAAAACTTAGTAAATTCTGTATCTGAGAAAATAAGAATATCTTCTAGGCTCTTTGGAAAGAAATTAATCATAATTACACTGTTTTCCTAGGGTTAGAAGCTACTAAATAAAATCTTGGGGAAACTTAATTTTAGCTTTCATTTTCAGATAATCTTAGGAGTTTGGAATGCCTATCATTGCCTTATAGTAAATATATTATATTTATATTAGATAATATAGTTTGAGGATAGGGTTCCTACTGAAAACTGAGCTGAAGAATAGGAATCTCTTATTAACCTTCTTAGAAAAAAAAGTTTAGTAGAAGTTGGTACATTGAAAAAAAATAACAACTGGCTTAATAAAAAATAATAAAAGTATTCCTTTCTTATTTTCTTATAACCATTTTTTTTCACACAAAGTTTGGGGATAAATGCTAAAATAAAATTATTTAGGTTCTTTCAGAGGTTTCTGACTATAGGGTATGTACTGCATGTTTGTACTGAAAAAGAATATCTCCAGGAAGGAAAAAGTGAAGATTCTAACTATTTTTAGCATTAACTTATTACATCATTGTTGCAATTTAGAAACACATATAAATGCCCCCACTTACTTATTTTCAGAGAGATTCCAATGGGGGCGGGGAAACCCAACAAACTCTAAAATAGATATGTTGCCTTGTCTAAGTGCCTGACATAACAACTGAGAGCAGCTGCATAGCACAGGGGAGCAGGAAACTCCTGGGTGTCTGTCTGTGCCCATAAGCACTGTCCTTGTCAAGAACTCCAAGGCAGCATGTGGACGATTCTACACATAATACATTCTCACTCTATAACCAAAATTAGTCTTCAGACATGGGAATTTACACTCTAATCCTTAGACCTGAGTCAGCTTTCATCAGTTGTCTCAAAGAGGTGTTATATTTATAAAGTTCAAGTTCTAAATCACACATCACATTTACATTTTATGTCTTTAGTTCCTTCAATCTGAAGCACTTCCTTGCCTTTTTCTGGCCGACATGACAGTTTTTGGAGATTTCTGGCCAGTGATTTTTTAGAATATCCCTCATTTTGAGTTTGTGTAATTGCCTCATGTTTAAATAAGGATATATAATTTTGTGGGAGATATCAGAGAGCCAGTGCAGTATTCTTAGTGTTCCACCAC